GGAACAGTATTGTCATTAACATTCTAAGTAAGTTCCATTATAATAAAATAATATTATATAGATCTACCTTCTCAGCTTAGCCACAGACAGCTTTCCCCCCCTCCTTTATGACATTTGCCTAACTGAATACGGAAACGCTCGATCCTGCAGGAGGCCTACTTCTAAAGTACAAGAACAATATATAGATTTCTAGATCTATAGATCTATATATATATATTATTATTATTATTATTATATTACGTCGATTTATGCCAAGAAACGTAAACAATCACGATTTGTCTCATGACCATTCTATAAATAATAATAATAATATAATGATAATAATAATAATAATAATAATAATAATAATAACAAATACCATTTGTTATGCTGCGCATTTCCATTTTCTAAAAAATACTCACAATGCGCATTATAAATCTAAAAAAAGACATCAGATCTTAACAATTAATTGACATATATGACATATGGTCACATATGTGTGATCGTAAAACACAGTATCATGCATAGATCTAAGCTAAGTATAATTATAATTTTATTATTGTGAGAAAAAAAATGATACTAAGAATTATATAGATCTACAAGGATGTATTAAAATTCACGAACAGTCACAAAACATTGAAACTTGAATAACCTAGAAACTTTCATTAAAACATTCATACCCTAATAAGCTAGGAAAAACATCTCTCTCTCTCTCTCTCTCTTTCTCTCTCTCTCTCTCTCTCTCTCTCTCTCTCTCTCTCTCTCTCTCTCTCTATTTCTCACAGTCTCACAGATTATTTTTTCGGACAGTCTCACAGTTTGGCATACAATGTATTACCGTTCATCATTATGATTTTGAATTAAAATTGTTGTGGCACATCTTAATTCATATAATATGGGAGTTCGTTCAATACCTATGGGGACCAAAGAATAAAAATGAACGCTCACCGTATGTTTTGTAATTAATTTTTGTTTCGGAGTTAGATCTAAGAATTATAAGGGTGATCTAAGGGCTCTATAGATGGATGATATAATTCCGGGATTTGTTTTGGAAGATAAAAAGGTGCATTATTTATACATTTAGAACAGAAATTAAAAAGCACTTGTATTTGATCCTTTATTTTACTAGCAGCCAGTGTAGTTCTTTCAGAATTGATGTTACGAGTGCTGATTTTTTTAGTTTCATTACCAATTTTGCTGCTTGATTTTGGAATTAGAGTAATCTAATTTTGATAAAAATCAGTGTTGTCACTAATGGCTGCAGCTTTAATTACATAATTTCGTACTGCCAATCTTCTTAAAAGCTGAAAATAGATACTTTTGCCGAGTTGGCTAATTTGGGAGGACAGGCCATATTATCATAATCCAACTGAACCCCTAGATTTTTAAGACTTCTTATTGAACGAACGGTAGATCTGGTTTTTTATATTTATTTATTAATAGTCCTGGGAGATTTCTAATGGCTTTTGTATTTCCACTCAACATTATTTCCGTCTTGTCATCATTTAGTTTCAATTTATTACTTATCATCTATATTTTTAATTCCCGAATACATGCTAGAAGAATGGAATGCAATTGTGTGCAAACTGCAAAGATGCACTGGTCCTAACAAAAAGAGGAGCACATCATTCTCAAAAAGGAAAAAAACAAAAAAAAACCCACAATGTACATTTGTACGGTATTCACATTCATGCAAGGGTAGAAGAATGTACGTGTCGGGGGCTTAAACGGACACGAGTCGAAATAATATATACAATATATTAATAGCTTAAACGGACACATGTACAAATAATAATACAGGGGCTCTATCGTGGCCTAGAGGTTAAGATGTTAGCCTCTCATTCAAAGGTCCCGGGTTCGAATCCGAGTAGCGACCGAAAAATGTTCTTCTCTAAAATTGTCTCCTTTCACCTCCCTTCCTGCTCTCTAGCAATGTTCTGTTGTCAGCCTTCGTTTCCATTTTCTGCCTCCACCCCTTCACCCCCTTCGCCCCCTCATCTGGACTCCTGACTCTTTCTGCAGCCTGTCTATATACACGAGAACTTAAATGGACACATGTCCGAATAATAGACGCAGATAACTGAATAACATTTACGAAGGTCGAATTCTAAATCAGTTTTTTTTTTAAACCATGCTTAAATCAACTGAAATCTTCAACTTCAAATTAAGTCTTTAGATCATATATTCATCTTTGACTTCATCGCAGCTGCTTATTATACAATATCATGTGTTGCGTTTTGACAAGGAACCGTCATAGACAAAGGGAAGTAACCATGTAATTTATTTGAAATTAAATTTAGAAGGCGTTGCTTCCCTTTGCACATGCATCGGTTAGCCGAATAAAATATTGAGATTTTTTTTCTCCAGTTTATCTTTTATTATTATGCAGTATTGGTAAAGGTAGATGTTTATTAGATCAAAAGCTTGTAAGATGCACCGTGCCAAGATTCATGCTGCCTATCGTAGGCTGACCCTCTTGAACTTGAACTAGCATAGTAGGTTTAAGCGCTCCTATTGATCCCACAACGCATGCGCGAAAAATTAATATTGTGTATTTGTGAGTAAACTCTTCATAGTCTCAAGAAAATCTATTCAGACGAAGGTCGCATAAAGAACACGGTCGTGCATTGCCGACAAATTTTTAAAATTGTTTTGTTGTGTAAAGTACTCACAAAAAGAAAATAAAAGAAGCCAGCAACAAAGCACTGTTCAAATATAATTAATTTATTACCGGTACCACAATAGGTCCTCGCTGGCGCCTTACATTTCAAGGTCAATTTAATTCGCGCTTGTAGATTAACTGTCATAATAAATTAATAATATCATGAAAAAATAAGAGAGAGAGAGAGAGAGAGAGAGAGAGAGAGAGAGAGAGAGAGAGAGAGAGAGAGAGAATTAAAAAATCATTTATAATATTATAAGCATGACAAGTTGCTCTTATTTTCTGAAGATCTTTGGCAATCAACCGAAAGCGATGTGCTAAAGGAGCGGAGGTAACCGAATTGGAGAAAAGTAGTGGCCTGCACAGTGGAGAATGTGTACAAGCAAAGTTTATTTCAGAGCTTACCCCTTTAATATTATATAACCCACTTTAAGTGACTGAATAAATCAAACTTCTTTAATAACAAGAGTCATCAAGATCGAGTGCAAACGTTTGTTTTATTATCTGTATCGCCGTATCTATTTATGCACCGGTTATCTTCCTACGAGTGGACATAAGAAGAGGACAAGTCAAACAGAACAAGAGAGAAAATCTAGATAGTAAGGGTAGAAAAGGTGAAGATCTCGTATTTTTTTCTCAGGTGACGTGGAGGAAGGGGAAGCATATTAAATTTATGAATAATTTTCAAAAGATCAGGTCCATTTTCTTGCAGGACCACCCGATTTTCCGATTCAAGGTTGAATAAAAGTCCTATAGTTACTTGTAGGCCAATAATAAGGTGTAAAGAGAAGAACCAAAACTAATGCATAATAGAAATTATAGATATCTATGTAAAGAAGATGTACGTGTATTTGTTTAAGCGGCAGTCAAAAACAGAGATTTTCCTATAGAAGGATAATTACATGTATTCATTATTAAATTATTCCCTAGGTAAATATGTTGCAATTTGATACATAAACAAGGCGTAGTTGTGAGCGCCGTAAAATCTCTACTCAAACAAACAAGGCGTGGGCTTGTAGCAAGAAGGCTTTCTCGGCTTGTACTTGTAGGGTAGAGCATCATTTCACCAGCCGCCTCACTCAAAACAATTACACCCTGGCCTAATGTTATGTTATGTTTATTCAGCTGATGGCTGCCTCATATTTTTATCACCTTCAGATAAACACTATGCACAATCCACGATAATAATAATACATGTAATTGATTGGCCGTTTCTACATCAGGTTCATGACTTAGTTTGTTTACTGTCTATGATAGACAGGCTGTCAGGAATGTGATCCTTGTTTACAGAACGAAGTACACCACGCCCTAAATCTGCCACCCTCTCACAGGTGAAGATAAACTACTTGTACATGTACCGTACTTGAAACTTAGACTCAGAGTGAAGGCGTAGAGGTTTGATTGCTTCTATGGAGTTGCCTGATATACAATGTTGAACAAGTCTTTTTTTCGGTTTTGTTTTGTTTTAGCTTAATCAGTCTTCGTATGGTACTGTAGACTGATTGAATAACCTATTGTCCTATATTGAATCACGGTTGGTTTCTGTTTTGTTTTCTTTTGGTAAGCGTTTTACGGCGCTTTCAACTGCATAAGGTCATATAATATGAGCCCGCGGGTCACATTAAATGTTCGGTTTGGTACATTAGTAGGAATCAATTGAGAATTTTTCACTAATGGCGACCGAAGCCCACTCAAGCCGATTTTGGACCACCAAGGGATCTTTTTATGGTGCCCAACTTGTAGTACGAGTTTTTGGAGTGCGACACTTGATACTATGATATGTCCGGCTTCTTTATCTCCCTTCGTCTCTGTGGTCTCGCTTTTTGAACGGTTATGTTCAGCATTTACTACAGGCCATCAGTGTGTCTACATGCTTCTCTTCACTTACTCAAGAACCAAACTCTCAGGTTTTAACTTCTTTTACCTCCCTTTCATGATTTTATTCCCCCCTGATAGCAAACTTCAAAGGAATTTGCATCGTTCTGATTCTGAGTGAGCAGTCTTTGTTGATTGAAGACTAATCCGTTCCTCCTGGAGTTGTTTGCCCTTTTCCTTACTGACAAAAGACGATATTATTAGTTTTTTTTTCGATTGAACCATTTTTGCTGTGTCGTCTTCAGTCAATATGGAATATTTTCCTACTTTATTAATAGAAGCACACAAGTAGGCTATACAATAAATAACAGTCGTTCGGCTTAGTTGTAGTATTTTCCCAGGATATGAAAGATAGACACTCTCTCACACAGAAAGGGAGAGAGAGAGAGAGAGAGAGAGAGAGAGAGAGAGAGAGAGAGAGAGAGAGACAGACAGACAGAGAGAGAGAGAGAGGGGTTCAGATTTATTTAAGTAAGACAACTTCGTTGAAATATATCGTAGATTTATTTATTCATTTCAACTTCATACCAAAGTAAATAACTAAAATGTGTACATATTTTGCACTGTGCACATACCAGCCAAAATATCCACCCTCAAATTGCGCTCTCAAAAGCAAACAAATATTAGATTCAGTTTAATCCAAAAGTTAAACAAAAACCACACGCAGTAAACTCTCCCACATTCATTCACATTTTTCACTCACGCACTGATTTAATGGAACAAATTACTCTGTAAATCGTGGAACCCCTAAATCCACCAACTTCCCTACCATTTGAACACTCATCAACCCCCTTCATTCACTACCAGAACACACATCCAACCTTCAATCAGAACAAAAAATGAACACACACCCACCCCATCAGAACACACAATGAACACTTCTTGATACAGTTCATATTGTGACATGGAAGCAATAACTGACCAAAAAAAAAAACCCGACATGGAAGCAAAAAATGACCAAAAAATCCAATTAAAAAGTTTGGAAAAAGCAAATAAGAAAAAACAACAACATTGGTACTCATGAAAGCATCAAGTCTTCTGGGCTTCATACGAAAATGATAGAACTGTCATGTAACATAGAAGGCCAACATCGTTTTCTTTGGATTTCTTAAAGCTCAACAATCTAGACTTTCTGCCCAAAAGAAGTTTATAGAGCTGCAATTGACAGGGTTTGTATTATACTACAGTCCGCAAAGATTAGATGATAGCCACAATTCATCTAAAAGAACAGCTTTGGAGAACAGCTCATAGCAGATGTGAAGAAAAGTGGAAGAAAAATCAGACTATACCAGAGTGCTCATTATCAACACACTACTGGATCTACAAAATAATAATTATAATCCACATGTTTTGTAGGTTTTTTAAACTCTTGATCACTTTCTCAGTTTGCTGAACTGCAACCCTTCGTTCAAGAAATATACTAATTAAGCTGGCAGACTCTAGGAGACTTCTTACACTGATAGCTCGCAGAAGCTGCAACGCGACATTCAGGTATCTAATTCGATCAACACACACACACCAGTCTTGCTCTGTTAAGTAGTAGTTAGTAGGAACAAATTAAATCTTATTTTCGGCAAAGTTATTGATACACCATTATTCCCCCCTCAAGGTCCACAGTGAGACAATTGTATTCAGAAGTATACTGCCAACAGGCACACATATTAACACATGGAATTTTATCTAATTTAAATATACACTCAACAAAACAAGGGTGAACAATACCAACTGATTTATCACCCCCTCTTGCAATAATCACAGTAATAAAATTGACTGACACTAACATCTTTTACATTCTTGGCAATGATAAGTCGTACATGTACTTCTCAAACAAGGGTCTTTTGAACACACATATTTTTTATTTTATCACAAACACACTGAATTCTATCTTTATGATAAAAAAAACCCCAACAGTTTGGCTGTACTTCTGGACAATGCGTCTACAACCAGATTAGGATCTACATGTTCAATCAAACTTTACTACAAGCAGTATTATCCTTATTTACTTTACTCACTTCTAACATAATGTAAAATCTGAGTAAATTAACAGAAATCTAATAAATAAACACAGCAGTATTTAAGAAAAACAAAAGATAAAAACAAGTTACTTGAGGCATCTGTGTTGTCCCCTCCATCAACGCAACATATTACACTAAAGAAGAACTAGACTACATAAAATGTCATTCCAACTTTAAACATTTGGGTTACCACATGAATGTAAAGTCATTTGGTAATAAAACAACCATTCAGTGATTTTTCCCAAATGACACAGCCTCTTGCACCTTCAACTGCTGAATGACTTTTACAGGAACTCTCAATATATGCACAGATAAGTATCGTAGATCCAGTTTTAGTTTTAGTAACTGTTTTATGGCACTTGCAACACAAATAGATCCTAGTATAAGTGCCAAAGATTAGACGTGTTACCAGAGAGTAACATACAAAGAAAGGAAAGAGGAGAGATAAAAATGATATATGTTTGATAGGAAAGAAGGAGCAAACCATACCCTTGCGTCCACCAACCACCTCCACATACATACATGAAGCCTAAGGCAAGATAATGTGAGGTTCCCAACACCACATACACGCTTTCAAAACTCAAATCATGTATGACAAGATAAGCTCACGGAACAGGAAACAAAGAAATCACAGGTATAGATTTTGTCTCTCATATGCGACTTTCAGGTAGGCCTACATCTGAGCGTGAACTGTTGTACCTCTTTAAAAAGGCCATTGGCCATTGTCTTTAACATTTGTGCTCAGATTAGACACTAGCAACCGATACGATGCAATGGTCTAAACAGACTGAAATAGGTACTGCCAGCAATAACATTTTTTTTCACCACAAAGATCCCATGGACACAAAAGACAATAGAGAAAACAACATGCCACAGTGAGATCTCCCACAATTTCTCTACAATTCCGTTTAGATAATGTTTTCTACGGCTTTGCCCACTATTGACTCTCCCTTTTTTCATAGATTCTGCAGCCAAATATGCTGAAAAGCAAAGTCTTGCAATTCCAAAAATATACAGATAAAGCATACAAAAAACCCCAACAGTTTTATCAATAACTTAACGAACAACAAACATTTTAGGGTCACACATTTTGACAAACTAATGCATGAAACATGACAGACCAAACATCTGTTATGATATAAGGCAATGGGATATATTTTGAATGTCTATCAAAATTTACTTTTGATTTTCCAAATGCTTAAACTATATCTGAGACGTATCAAAAGGATGTCCCTGCCCATCTGTAGCCAACTCCACACTGGAACCATTTTTGTACCTGAAACATAGGTAGGATAAGATTTGTTAAAAATGTAGACAAAATTCAAAACACATATATTAAAAGCTGTCTCAGTAGTACCAAAAAGTACCGTATACAGAAGACTAATTTTTATTGATGACCTGTAGATCTGTCGTGGTAGTGGTTAAAGAACTTAACCCCCCCCCCCCTTTCCCTCCAAAAAAACCCCAAAAACAAAACAAAACACAAAAGAAACATGACCTATCCCTTCCAGTTCAACAATGAGAGCACAACACCATCCATGTGTATAATAAATATTCAAGTGTTGTCACCTGGTTTAAATCAGTTTAATTTTGAGAGACCCTTTGCTTATTTAATTACTTACTTTTTGTGCTCATATTATGTCTGAAAACTTAAGTTACGTTAAAAATTCTAGTCAAAATGTAGGCAAGTCGTGAGGCTAGAGGACAAGTATTTGTAAGGCTGAGGGTTCAAATCGCGGCCAGAATTGAATGTGTTAAACTTGGGGAATACACCTTTAACAAATTTTCTCCCCTTCACTCAGATCAAAATGGATGCATGGCTGATGACAGTGAAAGATCTCAGCAGGTGTTTGAGCACTTGTACAATGACAGATTGAACTGAATAGTTCACAGAAAGCTGAGAATGTTTTGGAATATTATAAGGTCTGTATGAGTAATAGTGGAGTCTGCTTGGACCAAAATCTGCTGGACCACCAGATTTTCTTTGGCTTAGCCATTTTTGTTTATAGGTTGTCTAAATAGATAGAAAAAAAAATCACGGATCAAAAATATTTTTTTTTCAATTACAGCTGTTTTTGGATTAATTGTACTTGTTTTAGCAGACTTCACTGTAATAGTAAAATCCCATAGAACCCCATAGAACCTACTTGCACTATACAGCTGCAATCTATAATAATATTATTATCATACCAACATACTTTTTCGACTCACAAATGTTGACAGTGGACCTTCAAGACAAAGACCAACTTCTACTGCTGTTTTTTTTTTTTATTCAAGCAATAACTCTTTCACCCATTCCAGTCAGTTTAGAACGGCCTTAGCATAATATTCAAGCTGACAGAACACAAGTTGCTACCTTCAATCTCTTGCCATTCAATGGCCACTTCTCCAGCAGGAATGCCAAAATATTGTGCTAAGTAAAGCAGATCTACATCAAAAGCCCTGAGGATGGAAAACCATAAATAAATATATGAAATCAAATATAACAAAAGCACATATTATGTTGATTCTTTCAAAGCAGCACATATTTGCTCACCAACAGAAATGTATGAAAACATA